ACCATAGTGAGCACAGCAACACAGCCAGCTCAGGAGCCTTGGTCACTGCAACCAACACCTCCACCACCAGTGCTCCTAACACGTCTACAGGTGCAGCCTCGCCTCATTCTACTCCATACAACCCCCAGCCAAGCGTCCCCACTCCTTCCTCTGTCAGAAAACAGCTCTTTATCCATGACCACAAGTCTGCTGGTGTCAGCCCTGTGTGTGTTGCTGCCACTTCTACTAGTGGCAGCAATGCAGTACGAGGCACAGGTTCTCCTGCACATCACAGTTCTACTACAACTACCGCTAATGCTCCTCAGCAGCTCGTCGGACCTATCTCACAGCCCCACCTCCAGCCAACTAAAACAGAGCCCAGTGCCGTTGCCCCTCCTGGAAAAGACAAGCCCTCTCTATCTGTAGAGAACCAGTCTATCTCCGTCAGTGAGAGCATCAACTCTGTGGGTTTCAGTGCCCCCGCCATGGCTTTACCTCCCAAGCCAGAGCCCCGACAGCAGTTACCTCCTCCCCCCTCCTCTGCATCATCTACAGAGGCCCCACCACCCCTCCTCAACCCACAGGCCAGCTCCCACCACCCCTCAGCACCTCTTCCTGTCCTCTCACACAATGTTGCACACCCCAACAACACTCTACCCCACTTCTCAGCCCCTGCACCCAGAGTCTCCCATCGTATGCAGCCAACAGGGCCTTACTATTCCCTTCCTGAGCAGCAGCAGCAAACGCAACAGCAGCAGCAACAACAACAACAATCTGTGTTCGTGCCCTTCAATGCTCAGCAAGAACCCCTGAAACAGACCCAAAACCAGACGTCCCAGCCGACAAATTTGCCTCCACAAGCCCAGAACCAAGGCCATGCTCAAGGCTCCCTTCAGGTCTCTGCAAACCTGGGGATGATGAACGGTTCCCAGATGCAGCACGTGGCCAATGCAGGCAAGCCTCAGCAGATACCACCCAACTTCGGTCCTGCAGGCCTCTTCAACTTCAGCAGTATGTTTGATAACAATAGCCAGGTGAGATGAAGTAACAGTTATAGTAAACGCATTAGCCTGACGTCTTGTTTTACTTTTCGCTGTTATGACTTCATGATACAAAAGGAGTCTAAATAGCTAAACAACCTTTTCACGGCTCATTTTCTTGCTGTAACATTACTTCAGTACTACCATACCCAGTAATTATAACTTTGTGAATTGTGCCCGCTTTGCAGGTTGGAAACAATCAGGTGTGGGGTGCGTGCCATCTGCCAGCTCGATCACCTCCAGAGCAGTCGTACTCGGCCCCACCAGCCTACATGAACATGGGCCAGATGGAGAACATGATGCCCCCGCCTCCTCCAGACAGCTCCAAAGCCCCTGGCTACCGCTCGGCCTCACAGAGGATGGTCAACAGCCCCATCGGTATGACTTTTTATTTGGCTTTATACATGACTATTGTGTAGATGTTTGTTTAACTGGTTTAAATACAATAATGAAATCCTTTTGAGATTAATAATCGGTCGTTAAGAGGAATGTAACTAAAATAACCAAATCAAAAATGAGGGGAGGTAATACCAGTGTCTATATATGCAACTAAATGTATGGAAATCATTTACAAGTGAGAAAACAAAAGACCAAAAGGTGAAGTTTTGAGGTGGAGTTTGCTTCCTCATGTGCTCAATAGTGAGCTGTCTCTTTAATTGTCTGCACCTACAGCATTGACCAGCTATGCCACCAGTATCTCTGGCAGCCCTGTGTATCTGCACAGCCATGCAGGAGTCGGCACGCCCTCATTCAGCAGACAGCACTTTTCCCCTCACCCATGGAGTGCATCCACATCAGGTACTAGGCTCATTTTTTTTTTATTCTGATTTTTTTTTTTTTAAGAACTTTTCACCCTTTTTATCTATTTAGACTTTTAAAAAATGGGTTTTCTAACTGTTCTTTTTATATTGACATGTTTCTTCTGTAACCCTTTTTAAATTCATGAATTTTCTATTTAGTACTTTCAAATGTGTACATTTGATCAGCCTCTAACTACTTCTTCCTGTACGGTCTCTTCTACACCAGGTGAATCTCCTGTCCCGCCTCCATCTACAGTGTCCTCCTCCAACCTTTCCACCTCAGCTGGTCCCCCACCTCCCCAGCCTAAGCAAGGCAGCTCCTCACAGCAGGACCGGAAGGTTCCCCCTCCCATCGGCACAGAGCGGCTAGCCAGGATCAGGCAGACTGGTTCTGTCAACCCACCTCTCCTCACCACCAGCTACACGGCATCTGTTGGACAGGGAGGCATTTGGTCATTCGGGGTTGGCAGTGCTTCGGGTAAGAGCAAAGGCAAATTTTGTTCTGGTATTTTCTTTTTCTTTGTTACAATTAAGAGAAAAGGGGAATTTTTTTTTACTGTGCAGCAGTAACTGATACCCACTAATAATGCCAACCCTCTGTGTGCTTTGATACAGAGGCCATGTCCGGTTGGTCCCAGCCCCTGATGAGCAGCCACATGATGCACCCTCAGCTGCAGGCAGAGCAGTCTGCCTTCTCTCAGCACCAGCCCATGGAGCAGGATGACACAGGCATTGCAAACCCTGCTAACAACTACCACCAGCCTCAGCATTTGCCCAACAGCTACATGGACTTCCCAAAGGTAACGCAGAGCCATAGCTCTGTAGATGATTCAACCCCTGTTTCTCCTATATGCATACCAATGACATGTTGTTGTTTGTTCAGGGGATGCCTATGTCGATGTATGGAGGAACCATGCTGCCCCCACATCCTCCCATGGCAGAGGGGCCGGGGGGACCGATGTACAATGGTTTGCACGCTGGTGACCCCGCATGGAGCCCCATTATCAAAGTGGTCCCAAACAACGCAGATAACTCTGACCCGCAACAGCAGGTAATGTCCTTTTTTTTTTTTTTTTTATTCTACCCATGCTGTCTAATCATATGCTTAGAGTTGAACTGTCAGGCTTGTGTTTCTGCCATTAGTCCTATGTAACATTTGACTACAGTCGTTCTAACATAAACCCTTATTGATCCTCTCTCCCCTCAGGTGTGGCCTGGTACCTGGGCACCTCATGTGGGCAATGTGCACCTGAACCACGTCAACTAGACAGCGTCCACAGCAATCAAACGCACACAGCATGACCCACAGCGCGTACATTAATTACCAACTGACGAATATGACCGAATAAGACACCGAAAAAAGAAAAACGTACAACATGTTAACTGTAGTAGAGACCTGAGAGTGCAGAGCAGAAGTTGAAGAATTGGAAGATCTCTTGACGCCATTCTTTGATGTGCCTATCTCAAACAAATAAAGAGAAAATTGGGCGAGAGCTGTTAGCAGTGTCCCGATGATGCAAACAAACAAGCGCGATCACCTGTTCAACAGGATCCATTCTCTGCGTAGTTTAGCGATTTTGACTTAAACCCACATACACCGTTCTTGGGCTGCAGGGGGCTCAACATGAAGTAGCTATTTAAACTTGGCCCAGAACTAGATGATGATTACCTAAAGAGAAAGAGAAATCAGAACCTTTTAGAGTGGTAAATACATGTATAATTGTTTACATACTAAAAAGGGTTAAAATGAGAGTAAATTTCATGTCGTATAGTGGCTCTACTTTATGTAGCCTGTATTAATGTGAAATATTTACCTTAATATTCAATAAAAAGATTGAAAAGTATTTGTGTGCTGTTTTATGAAGCATTCTTTACTATTTCTCTACTATTCTTTCATGTTCTGACATCAACACTTGGTACATGTTTCATCTCATGAGTTATCCTGTTTTTTTGGGCAGCAACTCTTTCTTTACGGTCCTTCACAGCTGGAGTCCATGTGCCGTCTTGAGACCTGCTTTTATGGTTGTAAATTGGTTTTATAGAACAATCTGATTTCTATTTGACTTTTTTTTCATTGAGGTATGTATGTGTCATTTGTTCTTTTTAGCTGAGATTTGAGCTCGCTGGAATGGCTTCACTGTCACGCCAGATGATACTTCCAACAGGATACATTTGCTGGAATCTGACTTTGGACCATGTGGGGAAGCCAGCAGGGGCATTCAATACATACAGTATATGAAGCTGTTGGAGAATACTTAAAACTACACTTTTTAAACCTCAAAATACAACACTACTTCTTACTTGGGGTACTTGAGATTCAATGTTTGGAACACTGGACTTTACTGAAAACTGCCACTTGGTGGTAAGAGTGGGGGCTTTGTTGAGATTGGCAAACATTTGACCTGTAATACTATTACAATACTATAAGTATTAAACGGATAGAGGGATAGATATACATTATTAATCCCAAATTAGGAAATGATTGTTACAACTGCATATTATCCAGGCATTACACAGGAACAGTAAATATATATAACACTAGAGATGTATATGAAATAGACAATATAATGAATATATTAGAATACACTAACTACAACTATAATATGAAATGTAAAGCTAGGATAACATACTATAAATATCAGACATGATCTCCTTGTCTATGGAAACATGATCGTACAAAACGTGATAGGATATCATAGGTTAGTTGTTTATATTGTGTACTTCCTTGCATCATATATCTTACATTGTATAGCTGCACAATACTGATCTGAGCATATAGGGCCCAGTTCAAAAGGTTACAACCTCTTACACTGGAGCCACTATCAAAGAAATGCTAGCCAGCCAGAGATTAGATCGTTATTTTCTTAATGTAGTTCTCATACTCGACACAAAGTAATCCTGTCTATTGCTTTAGTTAAGTTGTTATAGTTATGTCCCTATGCTCTTCCGTTAATATTGGACCGTATTGTTTATGTATAGAGAACTTCGTTTGTGTTGTGTCAGGAGGTTCACATCGATACTCATTACTTTCATATCTGGCGTTGGAACTTTTCAGGACTTTTACTGTGAAGTCTGAGGTCAAAGTGCAAACGGAAGTGTAGTTCCCCAGTTCATCCCTGAATCCAATTGGTTCTCTTTCCCAGCAGTCGCTTCCTGTCTCACATTTGGAAACGCCCACGGCGTGACCTCATCAGAAGCTCGCGCATTCTCAAGTTGACATGGCGGGGACAACATCAGTTTCCGAGCAAACACCCAAATCCTCGCCACCACCAGCGTTTGTGCCATTTGACTTCTCTCGGCCCCCGGTCATTGAAGGCTTCAACCCTTTGCCGAGAGCCAAAGATGAGACCTTTAAAGAGAAGTTTCTTAGAAAAACAAAGGAGAACCCATTCGTCCCAATAGGTGAGTTATACAAGCGGGGCAGCGTGAAAGCTGCTGAAAGAAGTTACACAAGTACCGCACAGAGGCAGTAGGGTTCGTTACATCTAGTCGTTTACTCTAAAGTCTGGTCAAATCTATGCTGTCTGATTAACGTCAGCATTTAAATCTCCACCACACTCAACTGCTTAAGCTAACTGCTTAAATACATTAGCTAGCTACCTTACTGCATGTTTGTCACTACCAAAACAACGTGTTGTCGTCATCGCTCGTGGATGACGTGCTGACATTTTAAGATGAAGGAAGTCGTGTTAATATAGTTTCTGCGTAGTTTGACTTTTAATGTGAAAAACCGGAAGAGCCGCGTTGCCCTTGGTATAAACGGTTTCAAGGTTCAGGCAAAATAACCCAAAAATAAATAAATAATGCTCTGTCGATGTAAAGTTTGGGACTACAATATTTCTAAATGGTTTCAAAACTGCTGACAGTGAAATCTGTGGATAAATATATAACTTAAGTTGTATTTAATTTCTATTCTTTGAGTTTCTCAAAACTAAACGGTACATTTATCTCCGTCGTATTGTGTGTGGTGGATATCTAAAATACCATCAGAAACTAACAAAGCTATGCATTACCAGATAGACACTACTAGGATAAGGGCGTAAACGTTTCCCCTCTGATTTTGGTGAACTTATCTTTTTAATGTTGGGCCTTGACCTCTATTAATGCGACACTGTCCAAGTAGTATCCTTTATTTATTTACTGCATTCAAGTGTGTGGATGTACTAACTGGGGTGTGATCGTTTATGACATTAGATTACCTTGTTCTCGGTCAGAGTCTACCTGTCCAGTACCGGGTCATCGTTCTCCTACATCCTGTCTGTAAGCTGTGTTCTGTTTTGTATTCTACAGGTTGTTTGGGAACAGCAGGAGCGCTGATTTATGGTCTCCGTGCCTTCAATCAAGGGAAAACCAGACAGTCCCAGATGTTGATGAGGGGACGTATCTTTGCTCAAGGCTTCACTGTATTTGCCATTATTGTCGGTGTCTTTACCACCGTGAAAACCAAGCAATGAAGACGGAGCGATCACACACCTCTGCACCTGCCCATTCAACTCACGACCAGACCAGATCCAACCTGGGATTGGACTGATATTTACTACGTGAATGAACTGAATAATGCATTATGTTTCCAACATTGTTCCGATGCCAACACTATTTATTGTTGTTCAAACGTGAAGTGTTCATGGTGATAAAACATTTAGCTTCAGGCTAATCAGCACTATGGAAGAACAAAATAGAATCAGCTCCTTACCAGACCAGGTAAGGAGCTGGATTTGACTTTAATTGTGCAACAACAGCATTTGAGTGAGATGCTGATAAATATAAATGATATGCTTCTTGCTTTTCTGGAAGGTTTTGATTTCAAATGTTCCCAGGTAGTGTTACTGAAATGATGAACATGACACCTGGCTGATTAAAAAATGTAATCTGAAGCTGGTGTCCTGTGTGTGTGTGTGTGTGTGTGAGAAGCAGCAACTTGTTCCTGCTTCTCATCTCTGTTTAACACTTGAATGCTTAAAATTGAGGGTAAATGGATCAAATGCCAATTTCACAGGAGCATGGCCTTCAGCGATGTACCTACGGATGGATGTTTGCACCGGGCCACACAATATTTGATCTCCTCGCACACAAACTAGGATTGAAGGGATCATAGAGCAGTTAGATGGCATCAATGTTAGCTAGGAAACATGTAAGGACACATTCATTTAGGTGATCATACTCTACTGTTTTTATTTTCCAGTTCCCTTTTAAAATTCACTTGTTTCTTTATTCATAATGTCCAAATAGGCAACATGTGAAACAATGTGCAGGCATTACTGTTGAAATTGACACCTTAGTGATTACTGTAAAAAAACAACTAAAACATATTGGTTTAACACAGAAAGGGTGCATAAAACTTCTGCTGAGAAATTCAGTGAAATGAGAAATTGCACAAATGTTAATCGTGTTAAATCTGAAAATTTAGATCTTTGGTTGCTAATTAATTTTTTTGCTGAGATCTTGTCTAATTGAAGAAGAAATCTATCTCGAACTGGAGTAAGAGCTACGTCTAAAAAGGCCACAAGCTTATGCATTTAAAAGAGAAAAATATGCTCGCAATGTTAAATATGGTAAATAGGGGTACAATACAACAAATGTGAACTAAGACTGTGTTGATTCTACATAGATGAGAGGCATAAGTGGTTACAATCTAATAAGCATAGTAGTGCTTAAGTGTTTGACATCGACCAAAATGCTAATTTATAAAACAACTATAAAATGTGCATCCAAAATATTGGCAGAGGCATGCAAGAAAACTGACCTAATGACAATTTATAAGATAAAAGGGAAGGAAAATGTTGAACTTACAGTAACAATATTTTCTTAAATATAGCAGTGATAAAACTGACCAGCCAAAGGATGTAACAATAGAGCAGTCCATCTTCTCACAAGAGAGTGGGAGTAAGTATATTATTTCAATATATATATTAGGCATCAAGAAAGGCGGGAAGTTTTCAAAGATTATAAACATACCAGGGAATTTATGGAAAATGGCATACAAACTCTTCTGATGCATTGTGAGGTTAAAGCTCAAAAGGCAATGTTTCTAGAACAACATTGTTCCTCTAGCGGACTAGAGGTGTCTGTTTGAGAGAAATGAGGACAGAACGCATACGAGAAACATCCTTTGCCTGTTTGTTGGTTTTCGGATTAAAGTCACAGAGACAGGCTACTCTCTCCCATTCGGATCCTGGACTGTCGCCGTTGCCCTCTGCCAGGATATCCTCCTCTGACGCCCTACAGGTGGGGGGGGAGACATGAATTAGCTGGAATAATAGAGGGATTTCACAACAGATTCCAGCAAAACCATCAGAGCCAAACATGGTGCTCTGCCACAAAGTCCAGTCACATGAACAGCACCATGCTCAACAACTTCATGCATTTTTTTACACCAATCATTCCCTTTGTTGGAGACATAATTATTATTATTACCTATAGCCTATGTAACAATCAAATGTATATAAAAGAAATAAAGCAAACAGGTAGTTTTAGTGTGTGGGCATGCATCAGGTGAAAATCAACTAATTCCTGGGGTAGGACATCCAACATTAAAAAGCATAAGAATTCTAAACCTACACAAAGCCTATAACATCAGAGTTAGGCTGTTTGTAGAAAGCCTTGTCAGCAATCCTAGTACGCAGGCAAGAAAGCAGGAAAAAGAAAGCAAGAAAGCAGGAAAAAGAAGAAGAAAGGAGAACAGTTTCAGTGTCAACACAACAAGCAGAGAACGGTTAGGGCCGGCATTAGAAGGGTTATGTAAGCGACAGAGAAACAGTTCTAATGAGATGGAAATAAAAGGTTTAAAATGGACTTAGACTGACTTCTGCATTATTGTAGTACAAGTGCAAGCTTAGGATGGCGGGGAATTTCAGGCAACTACCGACTGACTGCTTTGGTGCTTAGGCTGTATAGTGTGGAAGAAAACTGTTGACATTTGCTCTCTGCTGTTTGCATTCCTTCTAGCTAGCCAGCTTCCTGTTTTGTTTTTCCAGGCATGCTAACTGGACACACTAGTCTGATATGTTATCAGAGAGTTGTCTCTCAGCGCATTCACACACTGACACGGGGGAAGAAACTGGCCAAAACTAGAGCCACAGATGCAGAGTAATACCGTGCCAGACTTGGACAGAGTCTGTAGGAAAGTGTGAGAGAAGAACGGGGTTAGCTCGGTCCAGGAAAGGAAAGACTGCAACGTGTTTGTAAGCATAACGTACAACACTGACTGCAACCTGACTAAAATAGAATCTATTAAGTAGAAGAAATAAGCAATAAACAAATTACACACATAGTGCATCTGACTTGACATGCACAGAAATATCTAAAAATCAAATTGGGAGAAATAATAATCTTCCAATACAACACTCGATCTGTTCACCTGAATAGAATGTGTTGAGTGTAGTGATTACAAACCAACTGTCGCCGCTCTGCACATTAACCGGGGCCATGTCAAGACACTAACCTGTTGTTGACCTTGTTCTTCTCCATCTGCTCATTTTGATGTACGTGCCAGTCCTCCAGCTCCTTTTTGGCCTTGTCTCTCCACTCGGCCTCTGCTGCCTTGGATGCCAAGTCTTGTTAGGGAGCAACAGCAGAGGACAACATAGTCAGAGAGTCCTCAAATGAGTAAAAGAGCTGACGTATGATTAGGTCTCACTGTGACACAGGGTAGATGTGCTGCACAACAAAACCACACAATCACAGGGACTCATTACAGCTACAAAGAGCATTACACAGTAATTCACTCACCTAACGCCTCAAGGCGTGTCTTCTGCTCCTCCCTCCACTTGCGTAAACTCTCTGGCTCTTGCCTCTGAATATCCACCTGGGCGATAGCTGCATAGTTGTCTGTTGGGCCATTGGACTCCTTTTGGAGGACATAAACCATTTTACTCCATTATAATGAAAAATCAGCAACGTGATCAAATACAAAGTAGATGTAAAAGTACATGATAACAGGAAGGAATGCTAGAGAAAATAAAATCAGTAAACAAAATGATTTGATGGTGTTCAGAATAAAACCGTGCGCACAAAGAGATAAACGTCACGCATAATTAAATATAGAATCAGACTAAAGATGAATGCTTACCTGAAACATTTCCCCATTCACAGCGGCAAGCTCATCTTCGAAACCGTCTGACATTGTTAAAAAGAGATACAAAGTTGACTGTTAGTATGGACTTCTCGGAGTTAGCTACCCTTCTCATCACCTGAGTGAACTTATGATCTACTGTTGTTCTTAAGATAAAGGTTACAGCTCACATCAGAGCGCAGAAATGCAGCAGCACCTGTTTGTTGACGTTTTGTGCGCAGCTTTGTCAGTTAACAGGACAGGTTTTACAGGTTAACATGTAGCTAACATGCTTTAACACTAGCTCAGTTTAATAGCTATGTAACGTTACTATACTTGCTTGGTCGTAATCAGTGTTAAGTTAGTTTTGACATATAAATATGTGTTACGTTACAACGTCAAACGGATGAATGAACGTTTACTAACGTAGCTGTTACGTCAGTTACGCTAGCTAAGCTATAACTGGCTAACTTTTAAATTATAAATGAGCTGACAGTATCAGCTAGTGATGCTATTGTTATCGTATAGGAACTGCTAACTTTACCTAAGTAACTTTACTCACGCTACCAGTCCATAGTAACGTTACCGGGTAGGAACATTAGCTAGCTCTAGTTAGCTCGTTAGCTCGCTAGTCGAAGGTGACGTTAGCGTTAGCTCAGTCGTAACTTGCCGTAGTTGGCCGGTGTCGGCTCCGGCGGAGACGTCTGCTCGTCGTCCGCTCCTTCCAGCGCCCCGAACCCTTCGCCGTCGTTCTCTATCCCCGCTATCTCGCTCTCCGTTTGAGCCAGGAAAGCTGCGGCTGGGTCCTCTTCAGTCGTGTGTGCGCCATTGTCAGCCATCTTTCACAAAAGTGTTTACAAGTTTAACTGAGCTTGGGTAGGTTTAGCTAGCTAGCTAACGTCAAAGCCCCCAAAATTAGGCCACCGGTTTTGCAACGCCAACACAAACTAAATATTTTACTCGAATGTCAGCTATTTAAAGTCACGTTAGACTACTGCAAGCAACAGGGCGAACAAATCAATCGTTTGTAATAAACAATCGAAGCTTCGACTTCAGGCCCTCACTGATGATTCATGATTTCTTCACTTGTTCTCTGTGATGATGGAGCAGGGCAGCACCCCGAGGGGACCGGCTCCTTTTTAACGCGATTTGTCTCCATCTGCTGGCCATCTGCTGCATGTCTGTAGTCTGCCTGAGATTAACTTGATCAAAAGCCTCACTACTGTATCATCTCAGCTCAAAGTGATGTTTTACTTATACCAATAATAACAATAGGCATTGTAGAGCACATTCATTCGCAAAATGCAGCTGAACAGACAATTTTTGACAACAAATATAAAAAAAAAACAGTTATGGTACATGTTAAAATACCGCACATATAAACGATCTAAGAAGTATTGAAGAACACAAATCCATTACCTAAATAAAAGTAGCAATAACATAATCTAAAAATGGACAAAAAAAGTCAAACGTAATTATTATTTATTTTTCTACCTCAGTCAAATAAGCACTAAGCCAAATCTACATAATTGCCAGAAGCAAGTATACTCACTCATTTTAAAGGAAGACACACCAGCCAATTTAATTTCTTTTTACAACTTAGCTACCTTAAGGTTGTTCTTACCAATTGCCTATGCCTATTCCAAATGATTTATTTAATATTAGAATACTATTATCAATCCATCCAATCATGGTGACCTGTCCAGGGTGTACCCTGCCTTCGCCCAATATCAGCAGGGATCGACTCCAGCCCGGAACAGGCAGCCAGGCTATAGAGTGATATAGTTATAACTTAAAACCTTTTTAATAAAGTATGCCTTTTCAGAAAGTGGTACCCAGCATTTGTGCAACGAGGCTGGTATAGGTGAGGTGGAGCGAATACATTTTGTACTATTTATGGGTTAAATGCAGAAGTTACATTTCATATATATATGTACCTAATGTATATGACGGCTATAATAACATTTAATTACATTTTTGTTTAAAAGCTTATTATACTGTATGTAAAATATGAATCTTCAAAGTAACAGTAACTATAGCTGTCAGATAAAAGTAGAAGATTAAAACAAACAGGTAGGTAAATCAGATACGCACATGTTTTGTTATTGTTTTGTTTACCCTAAGAACTATTTTGTCTGATCAGTAGTTGGTTATATTGCGCAATGATGTATTGCTGACTTTATTTATTTTTTAAAGTGGCATTAAAAGTCATTGTGACTGACATGGATTGGCGTTGGTTTTCGCCGCCAAGATGTCTGCAAGGCACGGCCTCTCCTGGTTTACAGCCCGGCTATGGAACGAAGCAGCGGCCCATGTGACTTCTGACGTTTCAGGCGAGTCCTACTAAAAAGAATGTGAGGGAATGATCCTGCTGCTCACCAAGGGATCCACGGTGGCTTCCTGACGTCTGCTTTAAGGAAGTCCGAAAGTTTGCCTTCTTACCGACTTTTTTTTTTTTTTTTTCATCCGGTAGACGTGATGTTTGGCGAAAACAACGAGGGACAAGAGGTGAGCTAATTAATTTGTCCAAACATTTGAATGCATTCCTTCGCGCGAAGTTACTTTTTAAAAGCAACTTTTTTTTCCCCAGTCTTAAGTTTTTGCATGGAGCTGTGTTGCTCCCATTTGTTCAGTTTATGGCTTCGTCTATCCGCTCTGAACGCGCATCGGTCTGTAGCGGTGCAAACTACTTTGTTGGAGCCAGTTTTCGTGTTTCCGTCCTGCCAACTTGACTCCTGTCGTGCATGTAAAGGGTTTATTTCAAGGTCTGCCCTGTGATCTTCAGTCTGGGATTAAACCGTCGCAAAAGATTTCCTTGGACACACTGAATTCATTTTAAAGTAAGCCATGTGAGCTCATAATTGCGTCGCCTGTGAGAAAGAAGCGTCTAAGTTCGTGTATTTGAGGGTAGTAGCCTATACAGCACTTTACATTAAAAAGTACAAGTTTCTATAGAAATATTACAGTGACGCCATCGATTATATATAGCAATACCATAAGCAGGGACACCGTCCCTTGAATGAGCGCCACAGGCATTACCAGCATGTTCATGGGCTGAGGCTGTTGAGTTCTCCTCTGGCTTAATACAGAGAATGATGTTTAATTAACTGAAATGCGCCAGTTTCATGGCGTTGTATCACTTACTGTCTTATGTTATGCTCAAAACAACGAAATAATCAATTTGCTGTGTGCTGTTATCACAGTTAAATCTACTTCCATCACCTGTTGCTGCTATTTCCATTTATTCTTCCAAGCCGTCTGTCTTATAATTCATTTTCTTGTCTTTTAGGCTTCTCTGTTGGAGGTATAATATGAGAGAAATGACAGTAAACTAATCCAAGTTGTGGTTATTAAGACTGTTTATGCGAGCTAGAAAGTGCATTTCTCCTAAAAGTATATGTATTTAATGTGCAGGTTTTGTGGCTGGGGTATTTGGGTACTTAGCTGGTTGATTGTTACAGTATATATATATATATATATATATATATTAGTAGTGAGATTTCTGTTCTATGAGCCGTGTTTGAGTTTTTTCTATCGTGAGCTTCTCTTTTGCTTTAAGAACTTTAAGATGTTAAAATATAATTGCAGGTCTGCCATCACTGTGCTTCATGCCCTCCGTAAGGAATGCTGAATTCCACAAGCTTTGCTTCAATTGTGGTCGTCTGCTGATTCTCAAGTACACTTTAAAAAAAAAACATCCATTCAGTTTGATGTTAAAGCTTTTGCCAGAATATAGGAGTAGCTGACGTTACCTCTCTCAGTCCTCCTCTACCCCCCCCCTCCCTCACTCTCTCTGTGACTCATGTTGGGCATGTTGGGTGTTGGGCTGAAATAGTTTGGTGTAGTTTTACATTCCTTATATAGCCTCTGAGGAGTGAGGAAAGGCTAGTGCTTGCCTGTGTCACAGACGGCGGCAGGGGTAGGGTTTGCCAACGGAGAGAATCTGCTTGCCCTAGCTTACTGACTCTTAAACGTTCTCCCAGGGTTGGGCTGTCGGCCAGCCCTTGAGGACAAGGTGGGTTTGCATGGTGGCATCTTGGGAAGCTAAGCTGTGTGTCACAAAGAGCGATGGAGGAGGAGGAGGAGGAGGAGGAGGAGGAGGGTGCTAGGTGTGCAGGTACAGAGGTCAGCACAGCCATAACTCTCGCCAGTGACAGCCCAAGTTGCCTTTGGGTTCTAAATTTACCAGGTTATTTAGTGACTTGCTGTTCTATTTCAGTCATCAGTTCTGGCGATTGTCCACACTGTTTCCATGGTTTGACAAATCCTGTAAAATATTCAAAAATGTCCGGACAAGTTTGTATGTTGTGGGCCAATGTTTCATGATAGTTCGCTTTAAATGGTTGAGTTGTTCGTTGAATACAATGAGCTGGCTGCATTCTGAAAGAAGGAAAATGAGGGCTAAACGCTGCTGCTGTTTTTATTGTCCAGTAGAATTTTGATGTTGTCATTTGTTTTGTTGTATACATTTTACATCCCGAGTCAGCCTCCTATATGAATGCCCACCTGAGATGCATCCACCTTTTAGTCTGCATGTTGATTCATGTAGGAACATTGTGTCCCAGTGTCAGATCTAGTGTGTTATCGTCTTGTAAGATACGTAAAAGTTAAGTTGATTATTTCTACCAAAAGGCACATTTAAATAATTTTTGTAACCTTGTTATTCTTAAAACAGAACTTTTCCAAGATATGCCATTATAGACTTGAAAGAAAGCTAAGCTAAGCTGCTTGGATGAAGCAGAAAAAGACACATTCCCGTCTTTCTGACTAATTAACAAAAAATTTTTCTCCTTTCTCTTCTCCAAGGCTATGAGCGTTTACTCTGTAACCCTCAGCGGCCCAGCGCCTTGGGGCTTCAGGCTGCAGGGTGGCAAGGACTTCAGCATGCCGCTCACCGTGTCAAGGGTAAGAAACTGTTTGTTATTGGAGGCCGCTTGTGTCTGCGCACATTGATGACTTTGCACTCTTCTTGAAGATTTACATCTGAGGATCATCCTGTAAAGTCATTTATGTCCCTCAAAGCTTCCATATAAAAGCCCGTTCACAAGTTTTTGTTAATGTTCCGTCGTCTTGGTCTCCACACAATGACCCCACCTAAGCATATGCATGTCGTCTTTTGCAAAGGACTTTGTCAGCAGACTGTGGCGTTCATTTTCATGTCACTCACACTTGTGTATGTACCAACCCAAATCCAGTCGGCCTTAACATGCAGTATCTTTTGGATTAATGGCATTAATTGGACATGTTGTTGTTGGTTTCGCAGTGCTTTGCACTCTCCATGTTAGGTCACCACCGCCTCACTGAATGCATCTTAAATACTTGATAAACTACTGTCGCTATTGTAGAGAGCAGCAACCACTTTCCAGCCCTTATATGTGCAGTGTTGCTTTGCCTGACAAACACACAGACTCGCACTTGCAGCCACACACACACACACACACACACACGCGCACACACAAAATCATTCCAACGTTGCTGCCAGCTATTGCGCACACAGATATAACATTCATTCCCCACTGACGTTGTTACATTGCTACCTTAGAGGCTGGGATGATCTATAAATGTTAGACTGATTTACATTCATTAAATCATCAATTATGTTCAATATTTGCAGGTTCCTATTTTCGAGATGATTGGGAGTTAATAGGCAATTATATGTGGGTCAGGCCTCACAAGGTCACTCCACATAGTCTTTCAAACACTTTCAGTTCTTTGTTTCTTTGTCGCTGCCAGAAAGTCACAGTTGTATTCTAGCATTAAAATGAAAAGCTGTGGACAAATGATGCACTATTTTATGTTTGCTTCGTTAAGTATGTCCCGAAGAGTCGACTGTGTGTCGTAACTGGCATCGCATCGAGGTGTGTGTGTGTGTAGAGCTGACGTAATCCTGTGGTGAGGGAAGGAGTTATCACCAGCCTTGTTAGATCATGTCTCGCATCTGCTCTGCTCCCTGGCAGGCATCGCAGTCAGAAACACAATGTTCCCCTTGGATCCATGACAAGAAACGTTTTCTTCTACCCATAAAAGAACAAACAGAGTTTTGACAAATTGCCCAAAACAAAAACAGGAATTTCTGGTGGGGGTATAGGAGTTGACTCAGAGTCATTTCAGTGTAGACTGGCAAGGCGTACTGTCTGGTGACTGTCAGCGGGTGTGTCTGTGGCTGTAGTTGAATGATCTTGACTAATCAGCCAGTACAGGAGGCCAGTTTTTCTGCAATCCATGGACATTACACACGCTGATTGTTTTTATTTTTTTAATCCTCGCTGACACGCATCGCTCACATTTTCTGTATTGCAAAGTCTTTCACGGTCAGTCTCCATAACATTTTTTAGACCAAGGTTTGTCTAAGCAGCTTGTGTGTGAAATTGATAATGACTCCCTTTCTGAAAAACAAAACAAAAACCAGTACAGCGAAGATTGTAGCCTTAACGACTGGTCAGTGGCTCATGTCTTTGGCTTGTTCCAGCAGTCCACCAGGCTGCAGGGTACAGGAGGTATAAAGATGTTACAGGTTGTCTCTGTTTACATCTGTGGAACTGTTGGCTCTCCTTGCGTTTGTCATAAAAGACTGGACAGTGAATCACACGGTCGCAGAGGATGAAAACTGCCCAACCAGGGGACGTAAACCTCAAAGATATACAGCATCCCTTAGTAACAGGAAGAAAAGGCAGGTCGCTCACTTGGCTTGGAAGAATTTAATGGGTTGTCTTTCTTTACTGGTCTGTAGCAGATGCGATCCGAATCTCAACCCAGACAGTCAGTTAAGAGATTACACAATGAAGAAGATGTTGAGTGACGGGACAAAAGGCTCATTAAATACGCTTTGATTGTGGAAAAGTGATAACTCCTGATGGATCAATGCGTTCAAGTGCTTTTTGTGAAGATTAGATGACAGTTAGTGCTGTTGAGAGCTGATTCATTTATAGCTTATGGTCATTTAGGTACTTTGAGTTTGGTCTTACTGTGGCAGATTGTCACATCATCAATAGCTTCATGTTTAATCATGCAGCCTGTTTTTGTTGTACTGTAAATGGAGATTCTAATCATCTATGCATTGATTTGGAAAGCCGTGGGTCTGGACTGGTAACCTCCTTTGTGTGTGTGTGTGTGTGAGTAAGTTGGTATATAGGTTTCCATGCTCTATGAATACTTGTTTCCTTCCTCGTCTGTCTGCGAGCCTGGAAAGCTATGCTTTCTCAGCATTCCTGGGATTTTAGTTTCGTATCCCCCCCCTGTCGCTGGCACCAGACAATCCTCTTGTCTCCTTCTGTGTCTGATATGTCTTCCACGCTGACTTTTCTCGTGCATATGATGGACTCCTCCAATACATTTCCAGTGAGATCAGAGGGAAAGAGACCATGCCAAGACAAAGTGTTGAACGTCACGTTGAAAGGAAAAAAAACAGTTTGACTGTAGCATAATATGTATACACCCATTTATCATCTGGAAAAATATGTACGCAACTTTTATTTGACTCTCTTGTAGTATTAATAACCCACTTTCTGTTTTCTTAGCCTTGCGTTAGAAGATGTAAAAAAACCAACAGTGAAATCAGAACAGAGTGCTCTTGACCCTTCACTATCCCGTTAATAAAAAACAAAAGACAAAGACCAAATATGAGAAAGCAATGTCTTTCTCTGTTGGTATAATTATCACATCATTGTATCCCTTTCAATCAGACACTGTGATAGCATCCCAGCCTGGGATGAAAACTGAACTGAAATTTCTATTAGGGTTGGAAATGTAATGTTATTGGTATTTAAAGGGATAGTCGAGCAATCTAGCATTTTACTTCCATAAAGGTTTGAGATGTGGGAGAGACTGATCGAAATATGGTGAAATATCGGAGGCCAAGCTAGCTTGACTTCAGTCCCTAGTATGGGTCAAGATCCAAAAACACTGGATCCTACATTTCCCATAATGCAGCTCGATGGCGCCTTCTTCTCCAGCTGTAACAGACTTTCTGTTGATAAATTTGCAGCCTCCAAACCCAAGCTCAGATAACCCCGATGATGTCATCGTTCTCGCTGAAGGCCAAAGGACTGGCGCCTGACAGCCGACTCATATTCTGGGTAAAATGTCCAGTCAGCCCTCAACACACCAGCATCTCTTCCAATGAAAACTGACTTCTGAAACATCTTTTTCATTCTTTTTGTTTGATCCTCCCTCCAGAAACGGCATACTCTGTCTTTACCCTTTCCTACACAACCCATGTGGCAACTTTTTTTCCCCTTGAATTTCTCTAGTCTAGACCATGAGAGGTCTAAGGTATACTTAAGTCAAATTACATCTCTCTCCACATGTCTGCCCCAAGATCCTTAATTCAAAAGGAGAGGCCTAAACTTTAGGAGGCGAGATGTCATCGTAACGCCGTTTCATTGCCGTTTCAATTGTGTCTGCCCTAACCTAAGGCAGCCCTAACTCCTCTGAGTTTCTCTAGTTATCTGTTCCAGATCTCATACCATCCCAATTCCATAAACATTATGATACCATAACCGAGCCTCCTGAGCACCATCTGGTTTCTGTCTACAAACACAAGCCACAACGCTAAAATCAAATGTTCAGAGGAAATTGTAGATGATGTCAAGTCATCCCTCCACCACTACAGCTGGATGTGTCACAGAGTCTTTTATTGCTGTTTCTCTGTGTGTGTGTGTGTGTGTGTGTGTGTGTGTGTGTGTGTGTGTGGTAGACCATCTGTTGCTTTATCACTTGTATACTCTTCAAACACTCTCCCTTTCTCATACACGTACACACTCTGGGAAGAGAGGCCTTGTTAGAGGGGTGAATTAATAATTCAGTACTTGCTGATAGATCGCCCACGGGGGGCATTTCTTGTGTCATTCGTTGGAGGTGAATGTCTTGTGTTGTGATCAGTGCAGTGGCGTTTTAAGGTGACTTACTGCTAGGTGTTCCACTGCAGCCGTTTCATTGGGACCACATACTTGCAGGTTTGGTTTTCCATTTCTCAGAGGGATATTTATGGCCTTGCATCAGCTGTGCTGTGCGAGTGATGCAAGGACAGACTGTCTCTCGGCCCCCAAATAGCCGTGGAAAGAATAAAAGTTAGCCGGTGCAGAGTTACACGGCCAGTATATCTGCAGTTGTAGATAAATTTTAGTAAAGTTCAAGCAAAAAACGAGAGCGGGTATGAGGCTCTGACTGACCATGTCAAGGGAAGCACTTCAAAGGTGTTGTATTTTGAGAAGTTGGCTCATGCTTTGAAATTCGATAGCCGACCAAAACAGCCCCACTGCTGTGCTCTGCCAAAAAGCCTTGAAACGGGCTACCAACCATGAGGCTAACCCCCGTGTTTGCGTATACCTTCAGTTGCACAGACGTCATGCCGTTGGTGTGAATTCAGCTGCAATCATATTTGCACGAAAATAATTTATGGCCGGATGAGTCGTTTGTTACTTGTGTCAAAGGAATCGGCCAAATCGAGAGCCATCTTTGTGCTATCGCTGCGCCATGACGTTATCCATCATGTTGCATCCCTGGTTGCTGTAAGGTAGAGTGCCCCGCGTTGCCTTCAGGAACATGTTTTCCACCGTCCTTCGTCAAACTGCTGGAGGGGTGTAGGGTTCCCCCCCCCCTACCATCCGAAGGTCTGAGCGCAGCAACTTTAACTGCTGCCTTCTCAAGTGAGGGAGCAGCTGCACACTGAACCTGAGCCAGGAGCACAGGTGTCTGTGTCCATCAGTAACTCGGCTCACACAGACTCGCATGCACGTACAAACACAACCTACAATCTGTAGGACTCTTCTTTTTAACCTCCTTTGTCTCACCTTTTACATTTAGACGTCAGCTTTTTTGGGGGGTAAATGTTCGATGGTGGTATGTCATTTTTGAGAACATTCAGATGGGTAACAAGTAGAATGCAAAACCAGCATAAAATGAGTAAGGGGTTGGGCCCCCAGAGCAGCTTCAGTGCTCCTTGGTGTAGAACATCCAAGTCTCTGAATCTCTACTAACTCTATTCTATTCATGTTCATCAAAACATTCTGTGACCCCTTGGGCTCTGTACGAAAACATTTGCATTCCTCATTTCATAGTTTATCTTTAGTTCTTCACCTGTCTGTTTCCCATGCTGTTTTTATATAAATATAATAACTTTTACTCTTTGCACAGACCCACATTCTCAACCTACTTCAAGGTTGGCTTGCAATTAATTTCATTGCTCAATTTGATTCCATTTCTTTTCTGAGAACATGACGCACAACGATGGCCTTTTCTGTTCATTGTCGACACTACAGGGGTATCTATTACTGCACTGGCTAGTAACATTTTAAAACCTCTTTAATTTAACAGATTTTGTTAGAATTAAACAACTACAGCTCCCTTGAGGCGTTGACGGTGCTTTTGTGGCTAAGGCTCATGGTGTTTTTGTTGGTAAACGCTAATAAAAGCTTTTGTTTTGTTAAAATGTTTCCCCTCAAGTTTTAAAATCCAGTATAGCAGTAAAAAGGGGTCTGCGGCTCTCTGTAGTGCCAGGCTGTGCCCCCTCTTCAGAACATGTCACTGGTGTCCATGTCATAGTTGTTTTTCCTCAAGTGTACGCTGTTCAAACTCTTTCAAGTCTTCCTAACCTGGAGAAATTATTTCTCTCTTAATTGCTTCCAGTGAGTGCAAATCAAAGCCAATTAAAGTGATGTTTGAACTTTGCTATAGAATAAATATAGCTTGGACTGCCCCAGCGGATTGCATTTCTTCCTTGTTTTTTTTTTTTTTTTAGCTTTGGCATCTTTCAAATCAAGACGGGCTTTGACTTTGTTGTCTGTGTGGGGAGCGGAGTTGTATCTCAGCCTGAGCCTGTCGTCGGTTTACGGAGCATATTGCCTCCCTGCTCACACAAGTGTTTATGTTTAATGTTCGGAATCAAAGCGGCAAGTGTGATAGCTTAGCTGAACATGGCAGAAAAGTATTGATTGAACCGCTGAGTCCTCTGAGGTTTTGATGAGCTAACATTTGCAGGAATCCATGACATCAGAGAGTAATCCTAATAGTTTGTTGTTTTTGTTTGCCAGAAATCCTGACACTCGCTTACTTATCTGATGCGGAACACTTTGAACTCCAGTTATCTGAGACTTTGACACAAGTCTCAAGTTTCATTAAGCCGCATGGGCAAGCTGACTAAGCCCTTACTAAACACGATGTGGCATCTCTGCTCTGAATATTAGACTTCACTGTCTGCCATGTCCTCTAGAACCGCTGTGTACATGTAGAACACCATCACTACCCATATAGACTGTCAAGTTCTTGCTGTTTGTAACAAGACTCCAGCCTTCTGCTCTGACATCCGACATCGAAAAAGTTAGTCTGTGAGGAGCATCATGTTAAACAAAGGCTTATGAAAATAAACATTGATATTTTCTTAGCTCAATATGTCTGGGTGAAGAGAGGATGATGTCATTGTTTTGTCAGTGACTTACCTGTCTGTCTAGATGGGTTGTTCCAGTAAATGATGTGACTATTTGTAACATATGGTCCTTGTCTGCAGCTATCAGGAGTTCCTTTCAGAGTCACATCTGCAGCAAATCATACACTGATGACTGATGACATCATGATGACCTATAATGCCTGTTCCCGATAGTGTTGAGTGAAATATCTCGGCCGGCTTGTCAGGGCCCAGACACACAGGCTCCCTGAGCTGATTATTAAGTGTCGTTCACAGACATTGTAGCAGAGTCGACTGAACACGTTCAGATTTCCTGGATTTTGCTTTAAACTGCTGATGCGTGTAAGATTATAGTGAAGTCAGACAATGACATTTAAGTACTTTTTCCACTCCGTTTATCAAAATGTTTTTGAGACATGACCTACCGACTGTGATAACAACAAAGAAAAAATGCCATCCTCGAAAAAGAACGAGATACAAGAAGGATACAAATATTGCAGAATTGTTAAGTTCATGGTATGTTTGTATTTGGCCAATTCTAGGACCAGTAGCTGTGTGATTTTTATAGTTCCTACTGGTGCTCTTCCATGAGGACATGTTTTCGTCCACATAACTGTCCTCTCCTGTGAAGACCTTGTACCTCTAACTTCCGCCTGGTTTCTGTTCCTGTGTTTTTTCTTTTTTCCAGCTGACCCCGGGCGGTAAGGCGGCTCAGGCTGGTGTCGGGGTAGGAGACTGGGTGGTGTCCATCAGTGACACTAATGCAGAAGACATGACCCATGTGGAGGCACAGAACAAGATCAGAGCAGCAACAGACTCCCTTACCCTCGCCCTCAGCAAGTAAGTCATATGGCAATGCGTTATGAAACGAAGAACTCCATGATCACACCCTCCATCTTATCTCGGTCAAACACATTGGCATAAAACACCACAATATGTGAACGTGAAAGAAGTGAAATACCATAATTTGCTTTGGTTGCGAAACACATTGGTATAAAATCACACACACTCAAGGTTTAGTTTTAGGTTTAGACTTTGACTTCATTTTACTCATAAAAGTCCCAACCATTGCTGTCAAAAATATTATTATAAAATGAATCCTGTTTGTCTCCGTTGTCTATAAGTAGTGAGCACGATATTTCAAAAACTGTTGAAATGTGAAGAAACCCGTATCTTTGCATAAAGGTGTGCACGATTCCACCCACATAGATCTCCAATTGTTTTAGACTGCTTTATTTTTTTATCACTCCCTCTATAAATTATGTCCAATCTTCACATAATTGGTTCTTTCCTGTTTTCCTACAACTGTTGATGCCAAAGTCTTGCTGGCATGGCCGAGCAGAAACAAACTCACTAAATGCGTTATGCAATTGCAAACTCATTCATAAGACAGGTGCAGAGCACTCCTGCAAAATATAATGCATTTTAGCTCCGAGATAATGAAGGTGGACAATTACACTTTGTACAAAACAAAAATTCCCAGGATTTAGGTATTTTATACAAAATTCGACTTTATCATCCATCAATATGTATGTTGATGTTGATTGAAACCTCTCAACATTATCAGCTACTAACAAGAGGATTGTGAGGTACATGCTCTGAATTCTTTCTAGTTTGGTATTGCATCAATATTCTGTCCTCAAAATACAAAAGAAGCACGATCAGGGGTCAGTATTCTGCACTTAGCAGCAGATATGCATCCCAAATGTTGTCAGGCGGATACACTGGCCTTTGTTTGGTAGGAGCCACAAGTACCTTACTTCATCCCTCAGTTCATAATGGATCTAGAGAAAGTCTTTCTTCAGATTAAAACACTTGGTTGTTAAGTGTGTGCCAGAAAACCTTCTTCTTTTTAATTTAGCTTGACTTATTTTAATTAGCACTGGATAACTAACAAAAAGGCAGCACTCATACCTGCTCACATAACTCCTGCCAGGAATTCCTTCCTGATGAAGTATCTCTGTAGAGTGCAGGCCAAATGTTCCATCAGAATCTTAATTATAAGAAGACTTCCCTCCCACAAAAGGCTGGAATGTAACCATGATGAGCTTTGCCGCTGTCACGAGACTACTTATGAGTATCCTAAAGTAAAGAGGTTGTGATCCCTGCTGTAACGCCGCTATTTTCACATCGAGTTCATTTAGTTGTTGCCTGCCAAGAGACTCGACTGTTGAGTTTGCTGAGAGTCAAAACAGCCACAGGTCATTTTATATGACCCTCCAGAAGAAAACAGCCAGTACATAAACTAACAGTTTGAGATGTGAGATCATGGGGTATACAGTATTTGCTGCACATTGTTCAACATATAATTGTCTCCTCTCACGTTCATAAAACATGGATTTCTCAGCACAGATCACTTTATCCAGTGGGTTTAAAAGTTAATGTGTTATATTTAAAATAGGTTTATTCGTGTGGTTGTTTTTTTTTTTTTTAAGGGGAAAGGACTACGAATACTGAGCACAGATATGATGTGTTCTGCCAAAGATTAAACTAGTTTATCACTTTAGTTTGAATAGAATAGCTTGAGAAAGGTGAAAAGTACGACTGTGTCTTCGGGCAATTGTAGGAAAAAATAATATTGCTGGTCGGGGGAGGATAGTAATATTTAGAGAGAGAGAACTTGACTTGACAAAAACTCTGATAGATAAATTAGGTGAAATTTACGAGATTATAAAGTCTGAATTTTGTTGCTCTCAAAGTATTGTCACTACAGTAAGGATTGCTTCTGAGTGAGGTAAAGGTCCTGAAAGATGCATACACGTCTCTTTCATATTAAAACGCACTGTGTACCAAAGTTACACATTGACACTTTCAAAGGACTGTACCCAACTGTGACTGTCGGTGTGAAGGGGAAATAACACAGAAAAGGTACATAACATAACTGCTTGTGTTGAACCACAGATTACGGTGAATTATGTCCTTAGAGTTAGCTGGTGAGAGGGACATCTTTAATACTCTGCTTAACCTGCTGCTCCTGCCACCCGGAGATAAGAACGAATGGATGGATGGAGAGTCCGTCACAACACAACATATTTTGCACTCTGCGGCTCACGTTGCCGCAGTGTTCAGGATAGGCATCTGTGGTGTGACGAGGTTGATCCAACCTTGCAAAGTGAAGCGCTACCGTAACAAACTCCCCCACTATTTGGCATTGACTTGGTTTTGTGTTCTCCCATCTTTACGATTTTTTTACCTTGTGAATTTATGATTTAATAATCTTGCAAATTTGATACTCCTTTGAGAATAAAGCGGCAAATTTATGGGAAAAAACGCAGAGGTTTTTTTCTCCGAAATGTATGACTTTAATCCCGGAAATTCTGATTTTATTTTTCTCGGAATAATGCAGGAAAGATGAATAAGAGAGGGAGAGGTGGTTGGAGGTAGAGCAACACAGAGATTGTTAAACTTGGGGGGATCAAAGTCAGATTTTGATTTGGGGCTTTGTAGAGTGTTACTACTACTGCAATCTTGTATGCAATATATAGTTTCATAAATATTGCAGCAGGTTATTATTATGCCCAAAGATAACGAGAGTTACTGTATCTGGTAGGGGTGTTTTTAAAAGGTTGCAGCTCTTTGCTATCAAAGAGCTGCAATTCCTGCATTTCATACAGCCAAGAAGACACACTGCTGATGTTGCATGTTTCTTTTTTTATTCCTGCAGAAAGACGTCACACAGAACAAACACTAAATGCCTTAAAAGGAGTGTGTGTGTGTGAAGGAGAGAGCGCAGTAGAGACATGGGTGGGGTTTTTCAGAGTTTAAAAGTAGAGGAGAATTAGAAAAGTGACCTCGTTGGCCTTTGTGGTGAGGGGATAAGTCAAAGAAAGTGACGCCACGCTCTCTGCAGAGGGATGGATCAGTCGTTATACTCGAGCAGGATGATGCGTCTGTCTAACAGACGTTCAGAACTCAAACTCAGACTTAGATAGTGTTATCTTAACAAGATGTTGTTAATCATCAAACATATTTTGAACCTGTGATGAGATGATTCTACTAGGCCTGCTCCCTTGCTGTTATGCCAAAACCTGAATGAGAATTATGTAAACTAATTTTGAATGACTTAGAACAAATCATCTTTTGTGTGTTATCATAGCAAACTTCATTACACTGAAAGCTTGCTGTAGTTATTTCTCTGCGGGTTAGAGATTTATTTTTATTCTTGTAAGAATTTCTCTTGTGAAGGAAGATGAAATTGAGGTGCTGAAGTGCGATATGTGTTGAGGGGTGTTGCATACCAAAAACCTGTAGCTTTGTGTGTGAAATATTGTTTAAAACGGGGCCGTGATGGCAGCAAATATTGTTTTTGCATTTTAAAACACAAGCCCATTTAATGAACTGTTCTCTCACAGGGACTGGTGTAATGCTTCGATAGGCCTGTGATAAGCCACAGGTTCACTTCACCATACTTTGTGCGGCATTCGAGGGTTTCCCTCCTCTATCGCTCATCTCCATGTGGAGGCCAGCTATTGTAAACATCTCGCATTCCTCCACTACCCATGACTCCCCGGGCTGCTCTCTTCATCTTGCCTTCTCCTATTATTGTATTGTAAGACAAATATTGTTTTCCTGAAGCACTTCCCAGAGAAGAGCTATTGTCAGTTTTATTTATTCGTGTCTTGGCTGCAATCCACAGTTTCTTTTATGTGGAGAGAGGAGGACAGCCGCACGGTGATGACATATGGTCTATTGTTTGGTTTAGTGCCTCATTTTGTTCAACACCAATGATCATTTGGTGTCATTTTTATGGGGAAGGTTGAGGCTTTATCCAGGGGCTTTTTATCGGAAGTGGAATCCAAAAAAATATGGGCAATAGATTTTCAGCTTCAAAGAAAGGAGATCATGTAGCAGCTACAGGGAACTCACAAGGTCCGTATCTCAATGTCGAGGATCGGCCGAGAGGTTTGTGGTTGGAGTTTTGTCGGTGATGTGTGCAAAGTTAATTACAGTATCATGGGAGATTTTGAAATGAAATGAGGCAGGAAATGAGCTCATAGTGTGCATATTTAGTTTCAGCACAGGTCAAATTTGGGCCAAGCAAAAAAAAAAAAACAGATTCCATGAAACGGTGACTTGATCATGTCCACATTTGTTCATTTAAGTCCAGTTTGCCAAAATGAATACAGTAAGTAGCGATTGTCAAAGACGGTCCTTATATCCCTGCTTTTAAGTGTGACTCATCAAATTGTGGGTTAAGGCGAGCTGAAGCGCTATGAACGTCACATTGATTTGTCTCCCAGAAGTGAGACACGCACAGACATGTCGGTATGCCTTCCCTTCGCTCCTCTCACTCTCCATCTACACAGCCCTGTTGTCATCCTGTCTTCAACCCGACTCTATCAGCGTTGAGCAGGCAGTGACGAGTGCTTATTCATTTCTCATTGTCGCAGGAAGCGCTGCCCATTGTTTTGTGTGACTGTAGCCCGAAAACAATGAGGGCTGGTTCATTCTTGCTTAACCCTGTGGGAGCTTTGTGTAGCATGCAAGCATTGGGCAGAGGATGGTAGTAGTTTATGTTTTAGTTATTTCAAGAGCCAGCAGCAATATAAAGCTAGGTGCCTATGTTTACTGTGTTAAGATATTTTAATGAACCGTCTCCTCCAGTCAGCAAAGGCACCGCAGCAATGTAAATCCTGGGATTAGAGTAAGGAAGCGCACTACATTGTGGCATGTGCAGCATTGTGAATCTGCAGACGGTTAAAGACGAGGTGAGATGTAGTGAGGTTTTGTTTTTTTGTACCACAGAGAAAAAAAACATTGTTTTTACAACCTGGTTCTTTTCTCGTATCATTTCTATTGCTTGTACCATCTTTGCAGTTTAGGTTAATTGTTGACATACTGTACGGGCGTAAGGGGAGTCCGTTTGAGACGGCGTTGCAGTGGGGTCCATGGGGCATCACAAGCAGGCATTGTAAGCAAACACGTCCAGTTTTTAACCCAATTATCCAAACCGCAGATATGAAAACAAAAGTGAACTTACAACCGAACTGTAAACATCCTGAATCCAACAGTAGGGATACTTCTTGGTTCAGTCATGTGTGCTCATGTAGTTTTATGATGCATTGCATAATTATTACGGGTATTGTGAGTGCGTTCTCTTTTATTCTTGCATCTGTGAGTGGTTTAGATAAGTGGGTTAAACTGGTCCTGTTTAAAACCCGTCTGATCACTTGTTTGCAATAAAACCGTCTCAAGCAGGGTTCCTGCAACTCCCTATTTAAGCAATTAAGCTTGTTGTTAGAATGTTGTCTTAACTAATGGGAAGGATGGCCAAAACTACAACGATAAGAGCCTTTCAGTTAAAAAAAAAAAAAAAAAAAAAATCAAATTGAAAACTAAAGTCACTCTCTAAGCTGCTTACAATGTTGTGTGAGTCCAGCAATTAGTCTTTGTGCAATATGAGGTGGATATTTGTATCTGTGTAATCAGACTCATTTATTATAGCCCAGGTTTTGTCATTGTAATTTAGATTTAGTAAAATGTGTAATACTAGTTTTGTTTCAAAAGTGTTGCAGTGCAAGTCGTCATAAGTAAATTGTTCAGGAGATTCAACATTGCCATTGTCTCAAACAAAACTTATCCTTTGACTGAAACATTGCAGACTTGTGTGATTTATTAAATAACAGTTTTCGTGTTTGAGTTTATTGTAAGTGTGTAGTAACTTTTGTCTCTTCTTTTCACAGAGCTTTCAAAGCGGGTGGAGAGCAGAAGGTAAGACTAAATCTGTCTGAAACATTGCGCTCACCTCTGCATGAACACTGGGATGCTTTGGCATGGTCTGCTACAGGACTACAGTGATATTGATTGAATTGGAAACTTCCTTTAATAATTGCTCACAATTGGCTTCAATAGTGTGTTATGTCACTTTGTGTTTAAATTCATCTGATTCACTGGAGTCACCTGTCGAGCTCTCACAGAGTCCGTGCACTGTGCATTAGCGAAGCATCACTGAGTCGCTAGATTAGTCGTTTGCTGGATGGAGTGTTGTGAATATTGCTTTTGGAGTTTTCTGTGGTTTATTTAGTGATGCCTTGCACAATCCCTGAAGCCAGTGTGTAATACTGATGCAAATAGTTTCACTATCAAATCTCTTAAGAGCTACTTGCCCAACTGATAACGGCGTGTATGGTACAATGATGTCATGAACTGCTTTGTGCTGCACGATATTTTTAGCAAGACCGCAGGAACAAAATACTCTTCACAAAGTCACTGCTCTATTTCAGTGGGTGTTCTTTTGCAGTCTGAGCATAATGCTCGGTGAGAAATCTCATTAGTGAGACGCGTCAGTCAAATATGACAATTTCTCACTTTGAGCATTTTCCTTTTACCAGCAGCAGCAGATTACTTTGGCCAGTCCGTGGCCGACTGCCAACATAAATAAAAATGTCTGTGTGCACACTTCTTAAGCACTTCTTCTGTGCACAGAGAAAAGCCTGCAGGCTTTGACAGAGCTGATCCTTCAGCCCCGGAGTAATAATTTGCAATATAAAAAATATTGGGCTGCGCTGGAAGCTTTCTTAATATAAACCGTAGGATTGTGCAACAGCAGAAGGACCTTTTTTCATTGTGTGTCAAAAATGTCTAACCGCATGTTGTTTGCTGTGCTGCATTGTCTCCCTCTCCCACGCCCTCGTAGGACTCACTCGCGCCGGCTTCTGTGCAGCCAAAGTACTCCTTTGCCCCCAGCACAACCATTAACAAGATGGCGAGGCCATTTTCAGCAGGTGGTGGTAGTGCCAACTCAGGACCTGCTATTAAACCTGTGGCCTACTCTCCTAAACTTAACACCCAAAGCTCACAGGGCCGTGCCAGTATGCAGCAGCCACAGAATGGGTAGGTGGATAAATAAACACTATTCCCTTCGGAACCACAATGTGCCTAATGTGGTTTTAATGGTATTTCTGATTTCTCATTATTCTGGTTTTTACGCTAAGGAGAAAATAACTCCTTCAGGAATTGCAAACGACAGTATGTTAACAATTTACTTAAGTCTATTGCCAAATTTATGTCAGATTTTAAGGTGCATTCCAGAAAACATAAACAGAATGCTGACTCACTGCTGAGATCTGCTTAATTATTCCACTTTCTGCCAATAATGTGACAAACAAGACACCAAGCATATGATGACTTGTGTATAAACGTATGCGGTTGTTTAAGACACCAGCAGTAATAAGCTGCCACTATAGATTGTATCATAGATGGACTCGGGCCATAGAATGACTTGGGGGGGAAGAAAGGGAGGAGGTTGTCAGCTCTTGTCAAAACAAACCTTAATGATCCTGTTGGCCTTTATCGTACAGCTGAAAGCAAACGCTTCGTTAGCATAGCAGGGGATATTTAGCTGACATTTGCAATTCAAGCTGGTTCCTTCAGCTGAAAGGAATTCATCGGTTGACAAAACCTGTTTTACAGAGATTAGTGAAGGATGTGTCAATATAATCAGTCACAGTTTTATGGCCTTTTAAAATCAATTTTATTTTTTCTCTGGCTCTTTTTTCCTCTTTGGCCGCTGTAGAAGTTATGATCTATTTTTGTACTATTGATTTTTCTCCATCTTTTCCTTTTGTTCCCGTCGTCCTCACTATATGTGAGAGGGATAGACAAATACTAAAAAGTAAGACTTTTTAAACTTTTGAGGAATGTATAATTTCTTGCAAATCGATCCACCTTTTCAAACTGATCTGCTATTTCAACAGATGAGTTATTGATCGACTGTGATTGTTACTTGTATCTTAGTTCCACGGTCAGTAGGATGTTGAAAACAAATATAATTAATTTTCAAGTGCAGTATTCCTCAGCCATTAGAAGCTGTGTTGTTTGTAAAACATTGCGTTAGTCAGAAGTCATACCTCCTGATAATACATTTGATTACATAGCTCATAATTTACTGGTGATGTCGGTGTCAACTTCCTCTTTGGAATCATTTTTTTCTATGATTCTCTGGATTTACTGAAGTTATCGGGTCATACAGCTAGTCATTTGTCACATCACAGTAGTAATGATGGGATGTCTTGATCATGGTGCATCTTGTTTTTTTATGAAACACATTTTATGGGCCACGTAAAAGCTGCTCAGCCAACTCTTGAAGTGGAGCCTTCTCGCATGTTGTCCCTCCAGTAAAAGTTTGATCGGTTGTGTTGGAAAAGTGAATCTTCAGTCTCTCCTTGAAAACTTTATTGATCAATTTGGTGGTAAATTATTGAAAAGAACAGTAACTTTTCAGGTTTCAGAGCTGTAATGCAGCTATCATCTCTGCTGTGTACTAAAAATGAAGTTACTGCTCCAGTGACCAAACTCTTGCTTCTATAATTACACAAAATAAATGTCAGAATTTGACCAGTTTTCAGATTTTACAAGGATTCCAGGAATGGACCAAATCTCATTTTAGATGTTCCAGAAGGCAGTGTGGCGTGAGATGGTCTTTGAGGACAGGACAGTCTGGTTCCTGTGATTTGGATCATGGTAGTCGTAGCGTGATCCGACTGCAGCCATTGGTGAGATGTGGCCCGTCGGCTGTATTTAGCCTGACTCATAAATTCTGCTGAGTTCTCATCAGCTTTTACTGCCCCGGTGCTCGATAATTTAAGCAGCCACACTTGCTTGCTGTCCAGAGCTTCTCACATTTTTGTGAAGTTTCTCTGTAGACGGCCTAAACCCATTCCTCCGGCCACTTTTGAGAAGATTAGAGCTTAATTATAACTGTCGGCCCTCTTCCGATGAAGACATTGTTGGATTTCTCCAGACAGTAAACAGTCCGACGCAAACGGCATAATGTCTAATGTGTCTCGGCCTGTCGCATTCAAACAGGTTTTGTGTGATGATGTTTGTACAGAGCTTACCCTGACATCAGGAAGCGTCACTGCTGTGGCATGTTGATGGAGTTCAGAGCACAAGAGAAATTAGATGGACTTCAATGGCACATGAATCGGGCGAAGGGTTTTTGTTCTTTTCTTTTCTTCTTTGGGCAAATGCTACATCCATTTACATAACTCTGTAACGCATTTGTGCACATGGGTGAGATGTTTGGCAAAGGTTTGGTGCCAGCCATTTCGGGTCAGGGGGACAAACAATGCTGTCTTTCTCTCTGAGCTTGTTGACAATAGCTGCATGTCTTGTGGCATCTCTTGCACGTTTTTTTTTTTTTTTCTTTTGCATCCTGCATTTTTGGTCTTCTGTTGTGGACAACCCATGACATATACAGTATCGACATGTTCTGGTTTTTCTTCAGTTTAAGCTGAACTCTGATCTTCTGATTTTCTGTTTTCCTCTTTTCTTCAAACGCTACAGATGGAAGCTCTTGACAAGTTAGTATATTTCTATTTTCATGAACAGTCCAGACAAAATGTTTGCTTGTTTGCCTTTTTTAAATTGCCATTTACACTCGCACACAATAGTTCCACTCCTTTTTGTCTTGTGACCTCTCTTAGTGTGCTTGCAACCCTTCTCTGGTTGCATACGTTTACTGGTAGTGAACCTTTATGATGTATGTATGTACTCTATCTATCTATCTATCTATCTATCTATCTATCTATCTATCTATCTTAATTTAAAATCATCCAATAATTTACAAGAAAAAGGCAAAGATTAGAGGAGTAAGTCACACTGAAAACAAAACTATAAACTTCACAATGTCTAAAAGCTCTTAACTTGTCAAAATCTCTATTTATGTTAATGTCTCCTATCGTCTGTCTCCCCTCTGGCATCTTTATACAATCTATTTCAACTTTGGTCTGTTCTACAGGGGTGAAGCGACTTACTATGGTGATGTGTGCGAAGAGTACAAGTAAGGGGCAGCTGCATGCTGGCTGGCTTGTCAGCTTATTAGGTTATTATGGCCAGGCTAGATATGACAAGAGAGGAGTGTTGTTGCTCTTCCGTAGATTCACAGATACGGTTTACAGAATAGAGATGCTAAAGGACAAAGCTAGTTTTATTGGTAACCATTCATCTTCATCCTCTACTGGCTTTATGATAAATGCATGCTGCAGTTGACCGGCAACCCTGCTGAAACGTTGGAAATGGAAAGCATCTTTTGTTCTGCTTCTTGA